TAGGGGAGGCCTCAGGAAGCTTCCAAGCATGCCAGCAGGCAAAGAGGGAGCAGGCATCTTACATGGCAGAAGCAGGGGCATGAAAGTGAAGGGAGAGATGCACACTTTTAAACAACCAGAACTCACGAGAACTCACTCATTACCATGAGAACAGCACCAAGGGAGTGGTGCTAACCCATTCATAAGAAATCTACTCCCAAGATCCAATCACCTCCCATCAGGTCCCACCTCCAACACTGGGGATTACAATTCAACAGGAGACTTGGTAGGGGCAAGAGGGGAGGTGGACACAGATCTAAACCACATCAGCAGTCATCACAGCCAGCAGGTAACTTACTCTGAAAGCTCCTACATTCAATAAATAAGATCAACTGTGAGCTGGGAATTATGCTGCATTACAAGAAAGTCAAAGGTGCATAAACCTAGTTCTATCCTCAAGTAGCTCTTAGTTTAGAAAATGATACTCTAACTTTTGTTCACCAGAACCACCCAACAAGTTTGTTAAAAATTCTCATGCTTTGTCTTGGAATCAGAACTAATAATGATTTCTGCAGGGTTCTAATATTAATATTGTGACACAAGTGATTCATGAACCACTTGTGGAGAAATTCAAATCCCAAAGATGACATAAAACATACATTGCTAAGTCTAACCATACTAAACACCAGATACTGTGCTAGAATCTGTGAAGAATTTTAAAGAGCACATGGAATGTAGTCCATATCCATGGACTATAGTCCAAAGTACATAAAGACATATAATCTACTAGGAGTGATAATATTCCAATAAATCTATGTATGTTTAATTCTAAAAATTACATATTAGGTAACATGCTAGCCTCCAAGGCAGCACAAAGGTGAAAATACATGGTTCTCCTCCTCAAAAAGTTCCATTAGCACTAGATAAGTGTAATTAATTTCTGCCTTCACTCATTTACCTATTTGTTGCATCAATTAATTCATTTATTTATGCATTCAATAAATATTTACAAAATAGCTGCTAAGTGAAATGTGCTATCATCATGGCAGGAAAATACGTGGTAAGTACCTACAGAAAAGTACTAATATCACCAATATCATAGTATGGGAGGGTTGACACCTTAGCTTGCATACATTTTTCAATATCTAAGTCTTGGATAATTCAAATGCTGCCTATGGCAATGAAATGCAGTCATCTTAAGGTAGTAATCACTGTTAATATATGTGTAATTGGATAACCCTAATTCACTTTAGCTTAAAAAATCTGTGGGCGGGAATTGGTGGTAAGAGTTTTCTTTGGTTTGGCTGATTCAAATGAACCATTTTTGAATTTGGAGAATTTCGTAATCACTAGCCTGACTGGCCCGCACTAGCAGTTTTCTGGATTTCTAGGAAAATCTCTGGTATGCGTCATAGTGAAGAAGTATTCCAACAAAGAAAGGGGATAAATGAAGAATCATAATCATTTAGAAAGAATTCACTGAGAAATAGAGATCTGCGTGGTGTAACTGAGAATTGCACAATGCGGTTGCAGGGCATGCGGGATGCATGACAGGTGGGGCTGCCTGCTCTTCCCCCTCGCCCTCCTGAGGCATCAGGGTGAATCAATCTGAGATCTCATTTCTATAGAGCACAGTTGGATCACAAACTGAAAACATACCACAGACGTCCACTACCAGTTAATTAGAATTGGCATAAAATATTGTTATCTAGTTTCCATTCCTACTGCTGCTTTTTGGATTTAAGAGTGTGGAGACTGGCCGGGCACGGTGGCTCACATCTGTAGTCCCAGCACTTTGGGAGGCTGAGGTGGGTGGATCACTTGAGGTCAGGAATTCAAGACCAGCCTGACCACAGTGGTGAAACCCCGTCTCTACTAAACACAAAAAGTTAGCCGGGCCTGGTGGCGAGCACCTGTATTCCCAGCTACTTGGGAGGCTGAGGCAGGAAAATCACTTGAACCCGGGAGACGGAGGTTCCAGTGAGCCGAGATCATGCTATTGCACTCCAGCCTAGGCAACAAGAGTAAAATTATGTCTTAAAAAAAAAAAATGTGTAGAGATTTTGAATTTAGGTTCAGTTCTACGAACCGGATATTTCCAGATATTTTCAACTGACTTAGTTTCTCTTGATATTAGCTCATTTGTCTTTCTGGTAGATTACCTATCTAACTAATGCCTGTGTGTATTTATGAAGATTGGGGCAGAAAATAGGTGACTCAGCATTGAGAAAAGAAAGTGGGCAAAGGCCAACCTGCTCATGAATAACAGGGCTTTGTTTGACATGGTCCCTGACTTCCTCACTTCTGTGCCTTCTCTCCACTGGATGCACCGGACCACCTTCAATCTACCTTTTGGATATTTTGAACTCCTATCATTTTCCTGAACTTCTATTATTTTTCTTTTACTTTATCACTTATATGCTATAATAAATGCTATTTTCTTTGTCTGAATAAACACCTCTTTCTTCACCCCTTGCCAAATTCAGGACTACTTATCGCTTGACTACGCAATGTATTGAAATTCATTCTTTAGCTTTCATGGCCCGTCCTCTGACGTTCTTGTTAGTGGCATCCATCTGGGTCATACCACACATACCACATCCTTCCACCACTCCCTGTAGTACCCTTATCTCGGCAAGAGCCTTTGACTGTATCTCTTTTGTAATACACATTTTATGTAACAAAATTACGTGTTAGATTTCATAAAGCAGAGAATAATTTAAAAGAAACTCATAAAAAACAGTGAAGGTTTGGTTATACATTTATCCCATTACCATTTACTAAGTCACTTCTCTATGCCGTGAAATGCAAAAATTAAGAAGAAAATAGCACTGCCTTTCCCGTCAAAGTGTTCACAGCCTAGTAGTAGAGACAGACTCAAAATATTTGACTTTAAAATAATGAGGAATTGGGTACTAATCATTTGTTCATATTAATGGAGTACCTGCGGACTTCATCGTTTCACGCTGCTATGACAAAATATTAATAGCTTAAACTGGATAATTAATAATCGACAGATTTTGTTGCTTGTATTTCTGGAGGCTGGGAAGTCCAAGGTCAAGGCACTAACAGATTCAGTGTCTGGTGAGGGCCTGTTCCTCAGATGGCACTTTCTGATCCTCACATGGTGGAAGGGGCAAGATACCTTTCTTCAACTTTTTTTATAAGGGCACTAATCCCATTCATGAGGGCAGAGCCCTAAGGACTTAATAACTTCCCAAAAGGCCTCCCCTCTTAATGTTATTATATCATGTTGGGTACTAGGTTCCAACATACGAATTTTGCAGTGTGAGGGAGGGGTGCACAAACATTCAGACCATAGCAACTGCTATTTGCCAGGCACTGTTCTAGGCAGTGGGGTGTACAGGTAAGCAAAGCCAAGCCTCACACTCAGTGAGCTTCCATTACAGAGCTTTCAGTGGGAAATCTGAAAAGCCATGAAGTTTACAGGAGGAAAAGCCTTATTCTGCCTAGGGTGGGAGTTTAGATCTGGCTTTTATGAGGAGATGACATGTTCACTGGGCCCAGTGGAGCAAATGCAGTACTAACTTTTAAGGGTGAAGGAATGCTCACTTAACTATGGAGCATCTAATGCATGATGAGTGTGGTTGTAGGAGCAGAGTTCCTGGCATGAAGTAGGTACTTGATAAATGTATCATATTTGGATAAATAACCCAAATCCAAAAATGAGTACTCATTTGAGAGTCCCTTCCCTCAAGGATCATGCAGTCCAGTGGAGAAGTTCATTCACTCTCATTCACTCATAACAATATGGCAAATGAAAGGAGAAGCCAAGAGTGGACAGAATGGAAACTCTAAAACATACGTTCCTCTCCTATCACCATCCTCCCAAACATCCGCTAGTCCCTCTGTTTCCTCCTCTGAAAGCTTATATTCTTCTTGGGAGTTCTGAGTTCTCTGGTGTTTCTGTTTCTTTTGCTGGGTGCTTCACCTTGGCTTCCTCCCAAATGCCTCCAGCAAATGTTTATTTTTATAAATGTTGTATACACAGGGCAGAAGATGGAGAAAGGGGTGAGCCAGAGTCATTTACGAAAGCACTTTGGCACTTTGCTCTGGAAATCATTTCCGCAGGAGGCTACCCTGGACAGAGTGCACTTACTCTCAGACCTCCCATCCCCACTTCCAAGCAGAAGTCAATGCAATTTTTATTTACAGTCAGAAGCTCCATGAAATTCTGAGCCAAAAGGCTTCTTTCCTGAAAAGCTGGTAGTGGCCTCCAACATTCAGCTATCACCTTTAACAGGAACTCTATGCTGTTTGCACCAAACAAATAACCACGCACCTGGGTCAGAAGCAGAATTAAGGACCTAATTTGTCTCCATCCGTGGATATTTAATTGACACCTACTTGTGCAAATCCTATCACAGCCACTGAGAACACAAGACATAGGATCCTAAAAGAGCAGGAAGAGGCTGTCTTTTATTGATGACATATCATATATTTTCATGATTTACATACCTAAAAAAGATATTATCATCCCGCTTTACAGATTGGGGAAAGGAGGAAAGAAGGAAGGGGAGGGAAGGGAAGGGAAGGGGAGAGGAGTGGAGGGGAGGGGTGGGGAGGGAAGGGAAGGGAAGGGAAAGGAAGGGAAAGGAAGGGAAGGGAAGGGAAGGGAAGGGAAAGGAGTAGGGGAGGGAGAAATGGAAGGAGGGAGGAAAGGAGGGAGGGAGGAACAGAGGGAGGGAGGAACAGAGGGAGGGAGGATTTGAAGTTCTGTAACTTGTATAAAACCCACAGCTCATGAATAAGTTTTCTACTCTTTTTCTCTTCATCACTCTTAAATCACACTTTCACCTCCACCTCTCCACCAAAATTGTTGTTATCAAGGTTATTATATATAAACCTAATTATTATAATAATGACTGACACCCACATTGCTAAACACAAAAGTCAAACATTAATTCTCATCTTGGTTCACTGATTAGCAACATATAATACAGTTGACTGCCTCCTTGTCCTTGAAACTCTTTCTTCACTTGGCATCTGAGACATCTTACGTGATCTCTTGGTTTTCCTGGTGCTTCACTGCCAGCACTTGCTCAGTCTCTTTAGCTAGCTTCTGCTTGTCAACATCATCTTCTGCTATTGAAGTATCTCAGAACTCAGCCCTTGGACACATTGTTTGTTTTATATACATTCACTTTCTTGGTGACCTCCTTCCATCTCATGCTTCAAATCCCACCCGCATACCAATAGCTCTAATTTCCTCTATTCTGTACCACTTCTCTAAACTTCAGCTTGATATATACAACCGCATACTTGCTGTCTCTCCTTGGGTGTCTCAAACTTATCAGTTTCAAAATTAAATTCCCATTTTTCCCCACCAAACCTACTCCTCTGATAGACTCCCCAGTCTCAGTTCATGGCAACTTCATCTTTCCTGTTGCTCAGAACAAAAAGCCTCTTTTGGTTACACCCCACACCCAATCTGATGGCATACTGGTTTGTGTTACCCCCAAAATACATCCTGGATGCAGCAATTTCTCACCATCTGCCCTGTGACCAGCCTGCTGCAACTCTCAGTCTTCTCTTATCCAGATTACTTCTTGGAGGCTCTTCCTTTGTATTTGCCCCATACAGCCTGGTCTTAACTCAGTCACCAGTGTGATCCTAATAAACCTGTTAGACTTGTGGTTCCTGAACTCACAGCTCTCCAAAGGTCTCTCGTTTTATTCAGAGTAAAATCCAAAGACCTTAAAACAACTGAAAGGACCATACTCCCTGTTCCCTCCCTGAACTCATCACTTATACCCCACCCCCATCCCAGCCACTCTGCTCTGGCCACACTAGCCTGCCTGCTGTCCCCTCTATCTGAAATTCTGTCCCCCAGAAACCTACACAGCTGATTTTCACATCTCCTTCAGGTCTTCACTCCAATGAGACTTTCTCAGCAAAGACGTACCTGACCACTTTTCTTAAAATTAAAATCCTATCCCAACATTTATTTTGTTTCCCTCTCTTGTTCTGTTTTTCTCCATAGAAATACCTCCATCATGTATTCTATATATCTTATTTGTTTTGTGTATTTTATCTCATTTCCCACACTAGAAAGTAAGCTCCCAAGGGCAATACTGGTCCTCTCCACTGATATATATGTAACTAATCGAATAATACATAAATAATAAATGTTAATTGACAGTGAATAATTGTGAGACATATAATATCTCACAGCACTTTAGAGAGCATATGTCATGTATGGGAACTTCAATTCATATTTATGAAGCAAATAAATCCAAACAAGAAAGAAAAAGAGAGACATCGCTGAGGCTTTTCATAAGCAAGGAAGACTTTGTGGAGAAGAAAAATAAAAATAATTTTTGAGTACTTACTGTGTGCCAGATACTATGCTAAGTGTCTTACAGCTACTATCTCATTAAACTCTCTTAATGACTCTGTGAAATAAGTTCATAAAATCACTGTGTCCATTTTACAGATTAGAAAACTGTTGTGTCAAAAGGCTAACCCACTTCCTCAAAATCCGTGCAACAATTTGTATAAGATGCCAGGAGCCAGACCTTTAACTCTCTGGTTGCCAACCATGGGGTGCCATTTTAGAAATCTCTCTTAGAGGTGAAACTATCCTACTTGAATTAAAGAGAAAATAAAAATTAAAAAGTTACATTTGAAAAGAACAACTGTTTATTAATTTATTTCTTTATTTATTCAATAACTGTTATTATTAGCTCCTTAAAGCAATTCCTTTATACTGTGTGCTGTACCCATCGGATGGAAAAATGAATGAAACATTACCTGCTCTCAGTGAACTTACAATCTAGCACAGCCTAGTTAGTGTAAAATTATCAGTATTTTATTTATTTTATTATTATTTTTTTTTTTTTTTCTGAAACAGAGTTTCACTCTTGTTGCCCAGGCTGGAGTGCAATGGCATGATTTCGGCTCACGGCAACCTCCACCTCCCAGGTTCAAACGATTCTCCTGCCTCAGCCTCACAAGTAGCTGGGATTACAGGCATGTGCCACCACACCCCTCTAATTTTGTATTTTTAGTCGAGATGGGGTTTCTCCATGTTGGTCAGGCTGGTCTCAAACTCCTGACCTCAGGTAATCTGCCCGCCTCGGCCTCCCAAAGTGCTGGGATTATAGGCCTGAGCCACCGCACCCAGCCAGTTATCAGTATTTTAACAGCTTTGTGCTTTAAGAGCGCAGAGGAGGGAGCAATTGATTTCCGTAGGGATGTAGTTATACAAGAAATATCTCAAAGACAGATGGCATGTAAACATAAGCCTACAGAATGGATTACACCATTGCTAAATGCAGAAAGTGGTTTTCAGGCAGAGGCTGTAGCAAGAGTATGGGATCTGCTCAAGGAAAAGAGCTTAGCAGGAAAAAATAAGGAGATGAACATGCCTTAAGGGTGGTAGGAAGCCATTGCCACGTTTAATCTGGGTTGTGAGCTGGTCAGATCTGTGCTTCATTGAGGTCACTCTGACAGTCATCAGGGAAGATGGATGGCAAGGGATAAAAAGGGAGACAGGGTGCTGGGTTAGGGCCTTGTGACATCTGGGAGAAAATGGTGAAACCAGAGTTGATATGATTAGGCTTTATGTCCCCAGTCAAATCTCGTCTTGAATTATAGTCCCCGTAATCCCCACATGTTAAGGGAGAGACCAGGGAGGTAACTGAATTATAAGGGCATTTTTCTCCATGCTGTTTTCGTGATAATGAGTGAGTTATCATGAGATCTCATGGTTTTATAAGTGTTTGATAGTTCTTCCTGCATTCATTCTCCTTCCTGCCACCTTGTGAGGAAGGTGCCCTGCTTTCCCTTTGCCTTCCCCCATGACCGTAAGTTTCCTGAGGCCTCCTCAGCCATGCAGAACTGTGAGTCAATTCAAGCTCTTTCCTTTATAAATTACCCAGTCTCGGGCAGTTCTTTACAGCAGTGTGAAAACGGACTAATACAAGTGCTAAGTCAGGAGAAGTGAGAATGATGACTCAGGTATCCATACTTAGAGAATTAATCAGTTATTCTCAAATGTGGATGTCCATTGAATGACCCAGGGAGCTTTTAACAACTCTGGAACCCCACACACAGCCCAAACCAATTACATCAGAAATTTTGGTCATGGGGCAGAGTATGAATAGCTTTTAAGGCTCCACAGGTAATTCAAATGTGTAGCTAAGTTTGAGAATCACTGGTTTATGAATTACTGGGTCTGGATGACTAGTTGCATATGACTGGGAAGAAAGAAGGAGGACATAAAGAGAGATTTTCTAGCTCACATGACCTGGGGAAACGCTATTGGTTTAAGATCTTGTCTCCTGAATCAGATGGCTACAACAGGTGCTTGATGGTAGCCTTGGGCAAATGATATACTTTTCGCCTAGAAATAATGGTAAAGTCACCTTATGGAATTACTGTGAGGATTAAATGAGATAATACATATAAAACACATAGCATAGTGCCGGAAACATGAGTGCTCAAAATTTTTATTGTATAAATTATTTAATTACGGTAGGCAAGAACAAGTCTACAGGGAAAAGAAAGATTAGTGATATCTAGTAGTTGTTTGGAAATAATACTTAGTGTTCAAAAGGGAGTTCAATGCTATAGGTACAAAATTGGTGTAGTTCAGTGGTATTGTTTAAATCATATAAATATATCATTCAGGGAAAGGGTATAGTGAGATGAGAAGGCGAAAGACTAGTATATCAGTTAATTCTAATTGTTCTAAGCCTCAGGGGTCTTTGCTGTAGAGTGAAGATAATAGTATTATGTTTTACAGCATTTGTGTGGTATTAAATGACATGATGCAGGTAAAAAACATTAAAAATATGAGGCATCTAGAGTGCAAGAAGCCAGATGAGAAGAAAGGGAAACAATTTTCGGAAAAGTAGTTGTCAAGGAATAAGAGTTTGAGACTTGGAGGAACAATCTTTCATGTTAAATAGACAAAATAAATAATTTTGGGACTTGGTGTTCCCTTTGGTATAACGAACCCTTGAATTAAAGGGTATTTAGATAAGTATTAATTTATAGTCCAACTTTAAATATGAGCTTCCTAGCACAGAAAACAAAGAGGGAAATGCAATTAGTTACATGATTGAAATACTACTTCCCAAGAAGAAACAGTTATTTGCCTGTTTTGAAGCTGGAAATCAGTTTTGTTCCTAGGTCCTAAATGAAGGAAAAATGTGTAACATAATGGAGCACAATACCCTCTTCAATATCTCTAAAAAGCTTTTAAAAATGAGCTTTATGAGGCTGCTTCTCATAAAGTCTCTCTGTTTAATGCTACCCCATAAATGCATATTTACTAGGGACCAAATGATAATATTGTTTAATAATACCATAATGAAATAAGCTACCATTTAGGGAGCATTTATTATGTGTCAAACACTGTGCAAAGTATCTTATTTACATTGTTCTTGTGCATCACCAGAAGAAGAGAGAGGGCAAATGTTATCCATGTTTTCCATATGGAAAATCTGAGGTTCCATGAGACTAAATGACTGCTCAAGCTTAAACCACCAGTAAGTAGCATGGCCAAGATTTAAAACCAAGTCTACTCACCTTCAAGACCTGTGCTTTTGATACTGCTCTGTTCTAGCATTTAACCTACTGTTTTCTAAACATGGTTTGTTCGTTTGTTTGTTTGTTTGTTTTGAGGCGGAGTCTCACCCTATCACCCAGGCTGGAGTGCAGTGGTGTGATCTTGGCTCACTGCAACCTCCGCCTCCTGAGTTCAAGCAATTCTCCTGCCTCAGCCTCCCGAGTAGCTGGGATTACAGGCACATGCCACCATGCCTGGCTAATTCTTTTGTATATTTTGTAGAGATGGGGTTTCACCATGTTGGTCAGGCTGGTCTCCTCCTGGACCTCCTGACTTTGAAATCCACCCGCCTCGGCCTTCCAAAATTCTGGGATTATAGGCTAGAGCCACCGTGCCCAGCCTTGTAAATATTGTTTTCAATGACAGTGGTTAAGGCACAAATCTACTGATTTTATTGATAAGGAAAAAGAGGCTCTGAGAGGTCGGAAGCTCTAGGATCCCATGAGTTTTTTGACAGCAGGTACCATATGCTGAGCCCCTTCCAGATGCCATTTTATTACATTATGCCCTGTCAGATATAAGGTTGGTTGATATGAACACAGAACATAGGTTCTTATGTTCCATCCTGCTTATGGACAGAGGATATTTTCAGAAAAGTATGGAAAATGTCAAACAGATGATTTAATCATAAGTCCCGACCCCTACGTTATCAAACAAAAAACAAAAAACAAAACAAACAAACAAACAAAAAAAGATGCTACTTTCTAGTTTTGTTTCTGAACGAAGTACTAGTTTTACTTTTATTATCATTATCATTATTATTATTTGAGACAGAGTCTCGCTCTGTTGCCAGGCTGGAGTGCAGTGGCACAATCTTGGCTCACTGCAACCTCTGCCTCCCGAGTTCAAGCGATTCTCCTGCCTCAGCTTCCCCAGAAGCTGGTACTACAGTCATGTGCCACCAT